CAGATCGAAAATCTTCTATTGTGTACATTTTATTTCGTTCGATCACCTTGGTTTTTGGTGCCATTCATGCAAGTTTTTTAATGAACCAATTACGAACGTTTGTGCGACATACATTTTATTTTGCTTCGTCCAAATAAATATAAATCATAAATGTAAATTTTTGGCTAAAAATTAAATAAAGCATGTATGTATCTATTTGGGAAAATAAATTAACAAACTTGTTACGTCTTTTTCTGGACTCGATCATTACTTGTAAACAACTTATGTCGCCGCTTGAGGAATCGTGCAGCTAAAATCAGCTGATTGTACGTGCTGACGTTTACTTAATAGCTCTTCAAAATTCCTATTCATTTTGTAATAATAAATATATATTATGCATATATAATAATATGTAGATTAATAGATTTTTTGGTTTCCATTTTTCAACATCCTTGCCAATGATGCACGTTACAAATGTGCCACGCCCACTTCACATTGGCGCGCCCTGTTTAATTTTCAAACCGTGGAGAACCCTGTGTATGTCTCACAGAATGTTCTCAATAAAGTTATAAAACTATTTTTACTGACAGAATCAAACTCATAGATTCAAATAGTATGAACAAAATTATGCTTTGTGTTTGGTTATAGTCAAAGATACAATATAGACTACATGTACATTGCACTATCATAAACTGAAAACGACACTGTTCTTGTAGTACACATCTAAGTATTTATTCAACAAAACAATGAAATTTTCTAATACGCGTATTAGATTTTTTTTATTTACTAAATACTGTTGTGTGTCCGGCAAACAAAACATTTTTAGTTTATGTTAAATCATAAATCATGATTTATTATAATAACTCATAATATGATTTGGTCTTCAGTATGGAATATAAAAAAAATATGTATATGTTTTCTCCAATATTGTTGTAATGTTTTGTACTATAGTTATACCTTTGAGTACTACCGTAATAGAAGTTGCATCCATTCTTTTTGAATGATTGAGAACCAAAAATCATCATTTCTCATATGTGTAGATGCTCTAATAGAAGCCACATCCCTTCTGTTGCATTGTACCATTTTAATGGAAGTCACTGCTTCTAATACAGATTTTACAGTACATGTATTTATGTTTTGAACTGTGTTGATCTGTAGTGAATGCAATCTAGTAGTGATCGACCAGACAAAAAAAACACACTAGAATGCGCATACATGTATGTTCAATTCTGACAACAATGCCACTTTAACTATTTATCCTCAGTGCCAAAAATTAACACATAGTTTTAAACTGTGAACAGTGATATGTGAATAAGTTTGAAACTTGAGCAATTATTTTTTTTTAAATTTCTTTCTAGCTAGGGACAATGAACTAAAAGAATCCTTACATAATAGCTATCAGTTGACACCATTGGTAGCTCATATCATATTACAACATAGTAAAACACCAACAGATAGAATTGTACTACAGGTGAGTACATAACATAACATCTACCTGTTAACACCATTGAAAATATCATTGGTCTTTTCTCAGGCATATCTTAGATGATTATATTCCAATTTACAATAAAATCTTGTCTGATGGTGTTGATACATGTCAGCTCTACCATTTCTGAGATATACATTTACTTTGTCTAACTTTGCTTTAGAAAGTTTTCTTTACTCAGTGCGTAGCAAGTTATTATACTGAATATTCATGCAGTATTTGATTATAATTTACAGGGAGTGTGTCATTTTTATTCAGAAATTGTCATTTTATTTTTCATAAAATTCTGAGAAAAAGAATTAACTAATATACAGTTGTATACATTTTTTTTTGTCTAACTTACAGCATTTTGTTGCTAAGGCACTTCATGTAAGATTTATATGTTATTTTGCGAATCACACTTCTTAAATATGATGTTATTAATTTTGTATAATTACAGAGTGTTCAGTTACTTCAAAGTATAACATACAACTGTAGTATATCATACCCTAACTCCTATATTGATGATTTACTGAGGTTTTTAATGACCTATATGTAAGTAATATTACATTGATGATTCTTATATGTTGAATCTCTGACTTTTTTTCATCATAATGCATTGTTAACCTTTTCACCACCTGTTCTTTTTTTTTCATCACAAGCTCACAAAATAGTCCCAATTTATAGTCTGCACTTTTGTTAGCTCTCCTTTGTTACCATTGATAGCACTCTGCATTTGTTAAAACTGATCATAATCTACCGACTGTTCCAGGTTTGGTAAGAGGTCACAATCCCATGGTACAAGGGCGCTGTTCTTCTATCTGGAAGGACCCCTGATGTATTTTACACATGTTGTATTTGTCGCTATGTGTCCAATATAAAACAGGACATGTTGCGACAACTGTACCGATTTAATTTTTTTGAATTTTGGCGTGTACATTCATCTTTACAAGAGAATCTAATCAAATGGAAAATGAATTGTCTTCATACCTTGAATTTTTCTAGACATTTATTAGCTAGGAACTAACATGTGACTTATAATTGCATTATATTTTTTTTCCTCTAGTCAAGACGTTGATAATCAACTGACGTTACCTTGTCTTGGGTTGATGGCCAATCTGTGCAAAAATAATGTATCATACAAATGCATATTAAATCTATGGTGAGTATATGTCAGATTCTCTTTAAAACAAAATGTCTTTTCTGGGTGCAATCTGAACTTGCCTAAGTTGTGGCATGGCACAGTACTGTTCCACTGCCAGGGACAGACTCAGTCAATGATATTAATCTCTTACATAAAGGATGGACATGTAGTTATTGGATGTGAATAGAAAATTATAACAGTTATTCTATCTGCCCTTTTTGCAGAGATGAGTAGAAAATTATGTGACCTGGACCTTGACTAACATCAGGTGAAATTGCCGGTTAAATCATTGCGCAAAATCGACAACTGCTTACTCAGAAGTATAAATCAGTGTACATTTCATCTAAATATACATCACATCACAAAGAGCAACAAATGATGGCTTTTCACTTTATTTCATAGTGCTGTAAGAAGAAGATAATAAAAACTATTTTTTGTTTGTTTTTCAGGACAATGTAAAGTCCTTTTATAAGGCATTAATTCAGTATTTATCACATAATAATTTGACAATGGTTGTATTTTCACTGTTTATTATAACAAGCTTGTGTTTAAATGAAGAAATTGGAGATAAGGTAAGTTGAGTTTATGAGAAGATGAGTAGAAAATATTAAACAGCGATAATTTCAAATGATGTTATCTGATTACTTATAAGAATGTTTGATTCAAACCAAAAAAACGAGTAAACCGAAACTTACTCAAAACTATTGTAGATTTGAAATGATTTTTTCAGGGCTTTGTTCAGGCAATGATCTTTCTAGCCTGACATGTAGGCATGTTTGGCGCACTCTTTGGCCGAACAGCATCAGACCCCACTAACGCCTGACTTGCCTTGTCAGCAAGATCAATACTGTGAATTCGAAAAAGTTCACGCCTTCTTGCAATGATTTTCAAAGAATATTCAGTTTGGTGGTCATGGTAACACCGTCAATCAAAGCCGTGTTTGCATTGTCGGCAAAATTCACTGTTTTCAACATGATGATAAACATTGAGTGGGAATTAAACTGTGAATGGTTACACTTTGATGGCTGTCACCATCTGATGTTTCTGCAATTTGATTGGAACCAACAAATAATCGTCGGGGGAAGTGAAACACTACATCGTTCTGTCAGGCGTGTGTTGGGTTTGGAGCATCGCTGAGGGCGCAACTCACACGATCTTGTCAGGCTATAATCTTTCCTGGGATTCACAATAAATTGCAGAAAAGTCACAGCAAAGTATCACAGTTGGAGTGGAAAATGTCTATTATCATCTTCACACTTGTCCTTTTTTTTATCTGTTTTACTCACTGTCCTTTGTTCTATGATTATGTCAGTTCTGTTTTTAAGACCTTGTAATCATGACACCAGGGTTAATTTTTTTAGTA